CCAAATTGCTGGGATTACAGGCATGAGCCACTGCGCCCAGCCTTTGTTATTTATTTCTACAGTATTTTATTGGCCATTTATTATGCTAGATGTGAATACACTGATACAAAAATGTGAGTAAAACCTTGGCAGTTTTAGCACACTATTAGTTTCAGGTATATTTGTTTTCAATATATTTTGTATGGGGCTTTTTCTGTTTTTCATATACCAGTTGAAGAGGTGGAGATTAGTTTCTGGCTTATCTGATGAACTTGAAATAGCCACCCCACAATAGGGAGGTGGGAGACAGATGGATTTCAATGGGATGTCATCATTATGAAAAGCATATAACCTTCTCCAAATAATTAAAAGCAGTAACAAAAGACAAAAAGAAGAAAGACATTTGAATAAAAATTAACCTTATAAATGTAATAAACATTCTAATTCCTTTAACAACAAAAGATTAGGAGCATGTTGAAAAAACCCAGTAGCCAACCTAGGTCTTCAGATGTTTGACCAGCCAGAAGACAGTTTTTCATTTTCTAATCAACAGTTTCCATATTAAAGTGCAATATAATAAGTGATAAAAACTGGAATGAAAAATTAACATTAACTACAGATTAAAGATTTTAAGAATCATGCCTTTTAAAGATTAATATAAATAAAAAACCTTAAAAATGTACAATTTTAAAATAAGTGTGTGAAAAAATACAATAAATGTTTATCCAAAATTGTACCAGAGTTATTAGAAAACCAGAAAAACTATAAACCAACTAAGAAATCAAATTAGTAATCAAAATCTATCTTTAAAGGTACAGAAAACACAAAAGGTATAATGGACATCAAAACTTAAAAAAAAATTTCTCCTGGCAAGTAAGGTGTAGGAAGAAACTTACATAACAGGATAGTGAATATAGACTCCAAGCCTACAGAAAGTATTCCAGTGTTGGCCGGGCACAGTGGCTCATGTCTGTAATCCCAGCACTTTGGGAGGCTAAGGCAGGCAGATCACGAGGTCAAGAGATCGAGACCACCCTGGCCAACATGGTGAAACCCCATCTCTACTAAAAATATGAGATTTAGCTGAGCTTGATTGCACACGCCTATAGTCCTATCTACTTGGGAGGCTGAAGCAGAATTGCTTGAACATGGGAGGCAGAGGTTACAGTAGGTTGAGATCACGCCACGGCACTCCAACCTGGCGACAGAGCAAGACTTCGTCAAAAATAAAAAAGTATTCTAGTGTTTGCTAACACTTCCTGAGTTATCTCTGAAAATCAGGTGCAAGGTAAGGATGCCAGCTGTCACTCAGTAAGACCAGTAAAAAGGGTGAGACAGGACAAGACGAACCTAATGGAGAATTAATTAAGGACGAATGGAAGAAAAAATACACAGACATAGTAATACATGTAATGATAACTGTGGCATTATAATTCACTGGAGAAAAACGCTAATAACTAGGGTTCGCTGCAACTGGTATTATGTGGAAAAAAGTAAAATTAGATTTGTCTTCATATTATCTACAATAATGAGTTTCCGACTGAGTCAAGACTTAAATATTTTTCTAGTATTAAAAAATACTAGAAGTAGGCCAGGTGTGGTGGCCCATGCTTGTTTTCCCAGCACTTTGGGAGGCTGAGGTAGGAGGATTGCTTGAGCCCAAGAGTTCAAGACACACCTGAGCAACATAATGAGACCCTGTCTCTGTTGAAAATAAAAATAAAAAAAGAAAAGAAAGAAAAAAGAAAACACTAGAAATAGTATATTAATTTAAAAATTTAAAAAACTTTTATTTTAGGTTCACGGGTACATGTACGGGTTTGTTATATAGGTAAGTTGAATGTCATGAATTTTGGTTTACAGATTATTCTGTCACCCAGGTAATAAGCATAGTACTCCACAGGTAGTTTTTCGACATTCACCTTCCTCCTATCCTCTACCCTCAAATAGTCCCCAGTGTCTCTTGTTCCTTTCTTTGTGTTCATGTGTACTCAACGTCTAGCTCCCACTTATAAGTGAGAATATATAGTATTTGGTTTTCTGTTCCTGTGTTAGTTCACTTAGGATAATGGCCTCCAGCTCCACCTTTTGTTGCTGCAAAAGACATGATCTCATTCTTTTTTATGGCTGCATAGTATTCCATGGTGCATATGTACAATATATTCTTTATCCAGTCTACTATTGATTGGTATGTAGGTTGATTCCATGTCTTTGCTATTGTGAATAGTGCTGCAATGAACATACATGTGCATGTGTCTTTATGGCAGAATGACTTATATTCCTTTGGGTATATACTCACTAATGAGGTTGCTAGGTAGAATGGTAGTTCTGTTTTAAGTTCTTTGAGAAATCACTAAACTGCTTTCCACAGTGGCTGAACTAATTTACATTCCCACCAACAGTGTATAAACATTAAACAACGTTTTTTCTTTTTTCTTTTTTTTTTGAGATGGAGCCTCGCTCTGTCACCCAGGCTGGAGTGCAGTGGCATGATCTCAGCTCACTGCAACCTCCGCCTCCCAGGTTCTCCTGCCTCAGCCTCCCAAGTAGCTGGGATTACAGGCATCTGCCACTACGCCCAGGTAATTTTTGTATTTTTAGTAGAGACGGGGTTTCGCCATATTGGCCAGGCTGATCTCAAACTCCCAACCTCAGGTGATCTGCCCGCCTCAGCCTCCTAAAGTGCTGGGATTACAGACGTGAGCCACTGCGCCTGACCTAAACAACATTTTTTTGAAAAATATCATTATATTGGCTGGGCATGGTGGCTCACACCTGTAATCTCAGCACCTTGGGAGGCCGAGGCAGGCAGATAATGAGGTCAGGAGATTGAGACCATCTGGCTAACATGGTGAAACTCCATCTCTAAAAAAAATACAAAAAATTAGCTGGACGTGGTGGCATGCACCTGTAGACCCAGCTACTCAGGAGGCTGAGGAACGAGAATCCCTTGAACCCAGGAGGTGGAGGTTGCAGTGAGCTGAGATTGTGTCACTGCACTCCAGCCTGGGTGACAGAGCAAGACTCCGTCTCAAAAAAAAAAAAAAAAAAAAAAAAAATCATTATATTGAATTAAATAAGAACTTTAAAATAAGATTTTAAAAACTCAAATACAAAAAAATCAACAGATCAGCCTAGATAAAAACATTCTCATAAAGCCAAAGGCACTGCATAAGTAAAATACAAGAGAAAAACTTGGAGAGTTGGTAACAAATATAATACACAAAGAATTATTCTCCAAAATATATAGAAGAGCCTTAAAAATAATATAGAACCTTATACGAAAATTAATTCAAGATGGATTAGAGACTTAAATGTTAGACCTAATACCATAAAAACCCTAGAGGAAAACCTAGGTAGTACCATTCAGGACATAGGCATGGGCAAAGACTTCATGTCTAAAACACCAAAAGCAACGGCAACAAAAGCCAAAATTGACAAATGGGATCTAATTAAACTAAAGAGCTTCTGCACAGCAAAAGAAACTACCATCAGAGTGAACAGGCAACCTACAGAATGGGAGAAAATTTTTGCAATCTACTCATCTGACAAAGGGCTAATATCCAGAACCTACAAAGAACTCAAACAAATTTACAAGAAAAAAAAAACAACCCCATCAAAAAGTGGGCAAAGGATATGAACAGACATTTCTCAAAAGAAGACATTCATACAGCCAACAGACACATGAAAAAATGCTCATCATCACTGGCCATCAGAGAAATGCAAATCAAAACCACAATGAGATACCATCTGACACCAGTTAGAATGGCGATCATTAAAAAGTCGAGGATGTGGAGAAATAGGAACACTTTTACACTGTTGGTGGGATTGTAAACTAGTTCAACCATTATGGAAAACAGTATGGCAATTCCTCAAGGATCTAGAACTAGATGTACCATATGACCCAGCCATCCCATTACTGGGGATATACCCAAAGGATTATAAATCATGTTGCTATAAAGACACATGCACACGTATGTTTATTGAGGCACTATTCACAATAGCAAAGACTTGGAATCAACCCAAATGTCCATCAGTGACAGACTGGATTAAGAAAAATGTGGCACATATACACCATGGAATACTATGCAGCCATAAAAAAGGATGAGTTTGTGTCCTTTGTAGGGACATGGATGCAGCTGGAAACCATCATTCTTAGCAGACTATCACAAGAACAGAAAAACAAACACCGTATGTTCTCACTCATAGGTGGGAACTGAACAATGAGATCACTTGGACTCGGGAAGGGGAACATCACACACCGGGGCCTATCATGGGGAGGGGGGAGGGGGGAAGGATTGCACTGGGAGTTATACCTGATGTAAATGACGAGTTGATGGGTGCTGACGAGTTGATGGGTGCAGCACACCAACATGGCACAAGTATACATATGTAACAAACCTGCACGTTATGCACATGTACCCTAGAACTTAAAGTATAATAATAATAAAAAATAAATTTAAAAAAAATCAAAAAAATAATAATAATAATATAGAAAAATGATTCAAAAATAGTAATCTGTTCTCAAAAAAACATAAATATAGGATATATAAGCTCATTAGTAATCTGAAAAATGCATATTAAAATGACAGGGTTTTCACAGAAGTTACATTGGCAAGAAGTCTAAAGTCTGACAACACCAAGTGTCAGCAAGGAAGCAGAGTGAGTGGCAGTCTCACGTGTAGTACCACAGATGAAGGGAGGGAATTGTTCAAGCAGAGCTATGTTAAGGGCATGCAGACCATTCAGCCTTCTTCTGGATACTCTGAATCTTATCTCTGGATGAAGCAAGACCACTGAAAAACTGTCCACTTGAACCCCAATGTTTTCTTCTCCTGAAAGACTTTTCTTTGAATTCTCTTTTGCTGTCAGAAAGATCAGAGGCAAATCTGCAGCTCAACTTGGATAATCTGGGACATTACAGGACCTGCATGTATCGAAAACTGACTTTGCTCAGTTACTGACCTGCTACTTTATAGTTCCCCTGATGTTGAGTTTTATCTATTTCTATTTTTTTCTGTTTTAATTTCTGTCCCCTTATAAATCTCACAAAGTCCATTGTAAAACAAAGTGAGAATAAACAACTCACCTGAGGTCCGTTTGTTTCTTGTTACTCATGGAGAATGGAAGAGAATTATAAAGGTAAAACTGGAGAAGAAGGAAAGAGAATGAGATCCTGTGCAGCCTGGCTGCCATGCAGCACACAGACTCACCTGCCTACAAAACTTGCATGCAAGGCCCCTGGGGGCAATGTCCCTTTAACCCTAAGAACAGGAAAGACCCTGTGGAGTAACACCCACATGTCCATGCTGACTCTGACAGGTCACCAAAAGTTTAGACATGCAATTCTTCATTAAATCAGTGTAAATATTTCCTACTGATTCATAAAAAATGCATGTTCCCCTCCCATTGGCTAAAAGAAAAGTTTAAAACAGCAGACAGTCAATTAAGCAAATTACAATACAGAAAAGAAAGACTGAGCCGTCATTAAAACACTGGAAAAAATGCCCTGGCTGTACTGTTTCTCAGCCTTCTTAATGATAGCACTTGTCCCTTCAGTTAGAAAATCCTCCTCAACATTTCCAGAAAACAATGGGGGTGCTTTAATTGTTTATTTTAACTCAGTTGCAGTTTCTCAAAAGGATCTTTTAATTTTAAAAACTTGATGTGGCTTAATTGTTTAAGACTGGATGGCACTTAGACTTTTTTGTTTTTTGTTTTGAGACAGGGTCTGGCTCTGTTGCCTGGGCTGGACCACAGTGGCACGATTCACAGCTCACTGCAGCCTTGAACTCCTGGGCTGAAGCTCAAGTGATCCTCAAGTCACAGCCTCTTAAGTAGGAGGACTACAGGTACGCACCACCACAGCCAGATAATTTTTTTTTTTCTAGAGACCGGGTCTCACTATGTTGCCCAGACTGGTCTTGAATTCCTGGGCTCAAGCAGTCCTCCCACGTTGGCCTCCCAAAGTGCTGGGATTACAGGCATGAGCCACTGAGCCCAGCCCTAATGAGTTATTTTCTGAGTATGCCACTAACAAATGACATGATTAAATAAGTCATATCTTCTAGGCCCATTTTTTCACCTTTATACAACACTGTCACTTGATTTTTGTAACATCAGAATAGGAACAATGATGCATCTCTACAGGCTTCAAAGACAATGAGTAGACAGGAAGGGAGCAGCAGGGACGAGTTCCCCATCTAGGCGATGCCTTCCCCAGACTGTGTTCTCACAATCCTCACAGTGGGCAGTGACATGTCCTCTCCTGTGCTGCCTGCCCCTTGCTCACGCTGGCAGCTAATCTCCTCCTGAAAGCCCATCCACTGGACAGTCTGCCATGGTTTCCGCATGTGCTGACATCACCAAGTGTTACTTAACTGTACAGGAGCAGCAAAAATGTCTTCAGTGAACAGGCAGTTCCGGACATGTTCCTTCCTGGCCCTTTCCACTCTGCTCTCAGGCTCTGCTGAAAGGTCTCAGATCAGAAGTGTGACCCTCCACGTGGGTTCTTAGGAACTACTCCTTGTTACCTCAAAAGCTTCTTTGTTCCAAGGATGCTGGGACAAGGGGACAAAGTAAATTCAGTTGGAATCTTCAACCTGACCTTCAGATAACATACTTTCTCTGGGAATCAAGGCCTGGGCCATCTACGAATTCAAACAGAATCCCTCAAGGACAAATGCTGGACAAGGCTTACCTGGCTTAGAAACTTCAATCATACTGCCTGACCCTGGAGCTCAGAAGAAACATCAAGAATCCCGGAAACACACGGGGCCACGTTTCCTGTGAAGGCACATCAGTGCCCAATGCTGTGAATAACGATGCTGGGTTTTAGACACGGTGGATAATTAAAAAGAACAAGGAGACATGGAGAACAGAGTTCAAACTAGGTTTCTGCAGCTGCTGGTTATATGATCTTGGGTAAGTCAGTTCACCTCTCTAAACTTGTTTTCTTTTTCTTTTCTTTTCTTTTTTTTTTTTTTTTTTTTTTTTTTTTTTTGAGACAGGGTCTCTCTCTCTGTCTCTGTCTCTGTCTCTGTTCACCCCGGCTGGAGTGCAGTGGCGCCATCTCGGCTCATCGTCGCCTTCGCCTCCCCGGCTCAAGCGATCCCCCCGCCTCAGCCTCCCACCCGTTTGCATTACTTGAAGCCCACGCACGCCTCCCGCGACAGAGACGCCAATGCCCCTGGACCCTCGCCCAACCCTCTGGGGCTCACCCGCCCCTCCCTGCTCCCCAGTGGTGTGGCCCAGCCCCTGAGGGGAGTCAATTTACCAACAAGTGGCGGGAGTGCGCGCGCGCAAAAGGAGCACGCCCCCCCCCCCGCGCCAATACCAGAAAAAAAGTATATTTCCCATAATCCTGTGCACTCGCTCCTGCTCCCTGGGAAATGTCAGCGTTTCCAATTTATTTTAAAGGTTTCTGTTACACGGTGCCCTTCTAAACACCGCCAAGTTATGGATGCGAATGTGACTACTGACATAACAAGTCAAATGCATAGTTTTGTATTGGATATGGTGTAAGCAAATCAACTGTAAAAGACATTTTAGGAACAAATAGGATAATTTTTATTAAAATTGAACTATTTATAATATTAAGAAATTATTGTTATATTTACTGGCTGCGATACTAATATGCATTGTGGTTCTGTAAAAAATGTGCTTAACTTTTAGAGATGCAATACTTAAGAATTTCAAATGTTTTGTGCAAAAAGTAACAACAAATATAGCAAAATATAGTGTTTAATCTAGGCAATGAAAATATGCCACGACTGGGCGCAGTGGCTCATGCCTGTAATTTCAACACTTTGGGAGGCCAAGGCGGGCAGATCACTTGAGCTCAGGAGTTCCAGACAAATTCGGGCAACATAACAAGACCTCCTCTCTACAAAAAATACAAAAACTTAGCCAATCATGATGGTGCGCTCCTGTAATCCCAGCTACTGGAGGTGGGGCAGGCGGTGATGGGCACTGAGGTGGGAGAATTGTTTGAACCCACGAGGTGGAGGTTGCAGTGAGGCAGGACGGCACCACTGCATTCAAGCCTGGGTGACAAAGGGAGACTCTGTTTCATAAAAAAAGAAAAAAGAAAAAAAAAAGAAAATGTGTTCTGTGAAATAATAGGCATATTATTTCTACTTTATGTTTGAAGATTTTCCTCAGAAAAAAATCCAAATGAATTCTACATACACCAGTTAGGTGCATAGAATACCCATATGTTTTAAGACTAGTTTTCCCCATAAGAATATACCTTAGAAATGACACATCCTTAACATATACCTACAACCACGGTAGCACATTTATTATTTAATATTGTTTTTTAATTTGGGCATTAATTTGGATATTTCAGAGTGCAATCTACTATATTAACTGTACCTGAGGGTGGTGGTTTGAATATCTATCTTGTTATAACATCAAACTTCAGTTCGTAAATTGAAGATTTTCAGGAATACTTTTTCAGCCTTGTAACTAGCATTACTACTTAATTACTGAGTAGAAAACATAATTATATATTATTGAAATGATTATTTGAATTATAATAGTGAATCTTATTTATTTATTTATTTATTTGAGACAAGGTCTCACTCTGTCACCCAGACTGGAGTGCAGTGTTGCGATCTCGGCTCACTGCAACCTCTGCCTCCCTGACTCAAGTGATCCTCCCACCTCAGCCTCCCGAGTAGTTAGGACTACAGGCACCTGCCACCACACCCAGCTAATTATTTTTTAATTATTTGTAGAGACAAGGTCTTGCCATGTTGGCTAGGCTGGTCTCGAACTCCTGGGCTACAGTGATCCACTCACCCTGCCTGGGTTGCCCAAAGTGCTGGGATTATAGGAATAAGCCACTGCATCCAGCCTGATATTAATAATGTGAATCTTAATATCAAGGATGAGTTATCAAATAAAGTTTCCAAGTTCATAAAATGAGAGTATGGGTCATTCATAAGCATAAAGTAATGGAGTTCATTCTTCTTTAATAGCTAAATAATTGTATAATGATAATAAACATTATTTATACTTTATTTTGTATATCAGCTTATAAATTCTGATTCATTACAATTTTATTTTAATTTGGAAGTGTAGGGTCCAGCCCCACAGGGTCGGTGGGTTTTTCTCCCCGTGTGTGGAGAGGAGAGATTGTAGAAATAAAGACACAAGACAAAGAGATAAAAGAAAAGACAGCTGGGCCTGGGGGACCACTACCACCAAAACACGGAGACCAGTAGTGGCCCCGAATGTCAGGCCGCGCTGATATTTATTGGATACAAGACAAAGGGGCAGGGTAAGGAGTGAGAGCCATCTCCAATGATAGGTAAAGTCATGTGGGTCACGTGTCCACTGGACAGGGGGCCCTTCCCTGCCTGGCAGCCGAGGCAGAGAGAAAGAGAGGAGAGAGAGAGAGAGAACTTACGCTATTATTTCTGCATATCAGAGACTTCTAGTACTTTCACTAATTTGCTACTGTTATCTAAAAGGCAGAGCCAGGTGTACAGGATGGAACATGAAGGCGGACTAGGAGTGTGACCACTGAAACACAGCATCACAGGGAGATGGTTAAGCCTCCGGATAACTGCGGGTGGGCCTGACTCATGTCAGGCCCTCCAGAGGAGGTGGAGGAGTAGAGTCTTCTGTGAACTCCTCTGGAGAAAGAGAGACTCCCTTTCCTGGTCTGCTAAGTAGCGGGTGTTTTTCCTTGAGACTGACGCTACCGCTAGAACACGGTCCGCTTGGCAACGGGCGTCTTCCCAGACGTTGGCATTACCGCTAGACCAAGGAGCCCTGTGGTGGCCCTGCCCGGGCGTAACAGAAGGCTCACATTCTTGTTTCCTGGTCACTTCTCACTATGTCCCCTCAGCTCCTATCTCTGTATGGCCTGGTTTTTCCTAAGTTATAATTGTAGAGCAAGGATTATTATAATATTGGAATAAAGAGTAACTGCTACAAACTAATGATTAATGATATTCATACATAATCATATCTATTATCTATATCTAGTATAACTATTCTTATTTTATATATTTTATTATACTGGAACAGCTCATGCCCTCAATCTCTTGCCTCGGCATCTGGGTGGCTTGCCGTCCACAAGAAGGAATCATATTATGTCATTCTGTGTTCCACTCCTAAAAAAAGATATAGTTACTAAGTTGTATTAGGCCAATGCTCTCACTTCAACACCTGGAAAAAACACTAGACAAATAATAACAGTTGTATTTTTTGTATTTTCAAAGACGTCGGAGAGTGGTAGAAGTAATGAGGATAACAAAAATTCAATTCTAGAGAGGAGGAGCCCTGCCTGGGCACTCTGAGGATTTCTAGCTTTTTCTTCACTAGGTCATTTACCATTTCTCCACATGAGCTGAACCTAGGCAATTGTACACTATTGAGTTGCCAATGTAATTCAATGGGAAAATAAGATCTGTACAATAAATGATGCTGGTACAATTTAATATCTGAATGCTAGTACTAATGAAAAGAAACTGGGGATAGCCAATTAGTTTCAGATAGAGCAGACTTTAAAGCAGGTTATCAGAGATATATGATACATGCTCAACCAATCAGAAGCAGCCAACTAACTTACATAACTAGGGACTTTCTAATGGAATAGACCAAATAAGGCAACTGTACAACTGTAACCCATCAAATATTTTATTTCCACATTCACTCTGTAAAAACCTGTCCCTTATGCTTCTTTTGGTTTGGTGTTTCTTGATTTACAAATTGCTGTTTGCTGAAATAAACTCTCCAAAATTTTTCATCATGTCTCAGTTTTTCTTGTAAGAGGCGTATATAAGGGATCATTGGGTCAATATGCATGATGGAGCCATTCTCTGGGATAGGGAAATTGTATACAAATATTCTCACTTAATAATACTCCTTTTTATATTTTTGCATCATTGTAAAAAAAGTGTTGGGTGGTTACCTACACAACGTTAAGAATATTCACCAATAGCATATTATATAGAGAGATACACACACACATGCATATGTGTGTATACATACATATGGTACAGTATTCAGATGTTTGCATTTGCAGGACAAATATGAATACACACAGTACAAACATGTACATTTGAACATTTGTGTACAAGCATTTGAGTATCTGTTTTCATTTCTTTTGGGTATATTTCTAGGAGTAGAATTGTTGAGCAAGATGGTAAAATTATGTTTAACACTTTCAATCTGAACAATATTGCATTGTATGAACATACTACAATTTGTTTATCCATTCATCCATCAATGGACACATGGGTTGCTTTCACTTTTTGGCTTTTGTGAATAATGCTGCCATAAACATGGATGTGAAAATATCTTTCAGATTCTGCTCTCAATTATTTTGGGTATATACTCAGAAGTGGAATTGCTGGATCATATAGTAATTCTATTTCTAATTTTTTGAGCAACTGCCACAATGGCTGCACCATTTTCCACAGCAGCTGTACCATTTTACATTCCTATCAACAATGCACAAGAGTTCCAACTTCTCCACATCCTCAACTACACCTGATATTTTTAATTCTTATCTCCTTTCTTTCTCCCTCCCTTCTGTCTTTTGATAGTAGCCATTCCATTGAGGATGAGGTGGTATCTCATTTTGGTTTTAATTTGCATTTCCTTAATAACTAGTGATGTTGAGTGTCTTTTCATATGTTTATGGGCCATCTGAATATCTTTTTTTTTTTAATGTCTACTCAAGTCCTTGGCCCATTTTTTAATCAATTTGTTCATTTTGTTGTTGTTGAGTTTTAGGAGTTATCTATATATTCTGAATATTAATCTCTTATCAAATATGTGTTTTGAAAAATTTTTCCCATTCTGTGTGTTGCCTTTTCATTGTCGATAGTGTCCTTTAAAAAAACATAAAGGTGTTACAAATTTTGATAAAGTAAAATTTGTCTATATTTTCTTTTGTGGCTTGTGCTTTTGGTGTCATAT